CGCCCCATGCCCCCAGATGAGCCGTGGCTCCGTCCTGTGCCCACCCCACCCTGTCTGGGCAGCGCTTGCCCCAGCCCCTGCCAGGCTGTGCTCCTTGCTGCCTCCTTGCTGTCAGGTTGTGCTCCTCTCTAAGCTGCCATGCTGTGCTCCTCGCTGCCTACATGCTGCTCTGCAGCTGTGTCCATGCAAGGGCATTTATCAGCCAAATTATTAGTCACATCTGGCCAGTTTCTGATACAATCAATTTTCTTTATATTGGTCCGAACCCAATATCGGACCAATGTATCGGTGCGTCTCCAAGTATCATAGTAGAAAATCAAGTTTGTTAGATATGACTAACTCTTGGTTAATCATGCTGGCTATTCCTGATTACCATGTTTTCCTCTGGGTGCTTTGAAATAAATTCCTTGAGGACCTGCTTCATGATCTGTCCAGGTACTGAGGTCAGGCTAACTGCTCTGTAATTCCTTGCAATCTCCATCTTCCCTTTCTTAAAGATGGGCACTATATTTGCTCTTTTCCAATTATCTGGGACCTCACCTGGCTTCCACTATTCAAAAAGATTATAGTCAACAGTTCTGAAAGTACCTTAGCCAATTCCTTCAGCACTCTAGAGTGCATCCCATCTGGCTCTGCTGACTTGAAAACATCTAACTTCTCTAAGTAATCCCTAACCTGTGCTTCCAATACTCAGGCTGTTTGTCTCCTTCCTAATCTTTGCTTGTCATCTGGTAGCAGATATATTCATGAAGACTAAAGTAAAAAAGGCATTAAATACTTCAGCCTTCTGTATATCATTCATCACTAGATTGCATTCTTCATTCCATAAGAGACCTACAGTTCCTTTGATCTTCCTCTTACGCTGACAGAGGTGTAGAATCCCTTTCTGTGGCCTTTTATAGCCCTTGCCACTCATCTCAAATTGTGCCTCAACCTTCCTTGTTTTCTCCCTACATGCCACTGTGATACTTTTATACTCTTCCCTGGTAATCTAACTAAGTTCCATTTATATCAGTGATTCTCAACCATGGCACTGTGACATTCTGGGGTTCCTTGAAATCCTGTCAAGGGTACTGAAGTAGCACACAACATTAGGACTGTTAGATATGCAAACATGATTCACAAGATAAGCCCAGAGATTTCAAATAGGAATCCTTAGTGTTAAAAACATTGTGTTACAGTCTTTGAGTTCTTTGCAATAGAGGGATTGTCTTATTATTTTTCTGTAGTTAAAAAATGAATGAAAAACACAAGTTATCAATTTCTTAGTGGTACCTTATGCCTAAGGAGGGGTACCTTGATCCTGAAAAGTATGAGTACTAATCTACATGCACAGGGCTATGCAGCCAGAAATAGAATTCCTATTTGTGTGCAAGTGCCAAAAATGTCAAATAGATCAGGGGTGTCAAAGAAATGGCCTGTGGAACTCTATCATCCAGTTCCTGCTACTGCCTGTGGGTCTTAAAGTTGACTCACAGGCAGCAAGTATTGTCCATTCCAGCCACTCTGAGACCACGTGTCTGCTCCGTGACAGATCTAGTACACGTCCTGGAGTGGTGCTGGAGCAGCCAGTGTGGTCCCAGAGTAGGCAGTACACTCCTGGAGTGGGCAGCATGGATTGTGTGGTCCCAGAGCAGCTGGTACGGTTCCAGACCACCCAGCATGGGCACTGCAATGCATGCAGTGCCTGCCCCAGTTCGTCCAGGACACAGTGCTGGATGTGACATGGACTGGACCTGTGCTGAAACAGGTGCTGTGGGTGGCATGGTCCCCAGAGTGCCTGGGGCAGGTGTGGCATGCAGCGTTGTCCTGGAACAGATGCTGCATGTAGTGTTGCCCTGGACTGGACACTTTGGGACATGCATGGCTGTGACAGGTACACGATGTGGATTGACCTAAACGTGGCCTGCACACCTGTTCCGGAGGGGGGGGCAACCGCCCGCCTACTCGCCTGCCATGCCTTGTTGTAAATTAATTAATTGGTGTTAATTAGTGGGAGGCTGCCCTTGTACTGCCCCGCTGCCAGGGGGCGCTATCTGCAGCTCCGTTTCCTCCCCTACACCGCAGTCCACAACTCACTGATGGAATAGATGTTTCTAATTATGCCCTTTTTGTCCTCTCTGAGCCTCCTCCAGTTACGCCACCCCCTCTCTGGGGCTCCCTAATAATGATCCCCCTCCTCTGGGGCTTCTTGGCAACTGCCCCCTCTCTGGGGCTCCCTGGTAGTGCCGCCCCCTCCCCGGGGCTCACCACGCCTGCACTGGGGCTTCTCAGTAACTGCCCCCTTCTCTGGGGCTTTTGCCCCCTCTCAGGGCACTCCTCAATACTGCTGCCCCCTCTCGGGGCCTTCTCTGTCAAGCCACCCTCTCTCGGGGCCTTCTCTGTCAAGCCACCCTCTCTCGGGGCCTTCTCTGTCAAGCCACCCTCTCTCGGGGCCTTCTCTGTCAAGCCACCCTCGCTCGGGGCCTTCTCTGTCAAGCCACCCTCTCTGGGCTCAACATGCCCGCACTGGGCTTCTCAATAAGGCCACCCCCTCCCTGGGGGCTCACCAGGCCCTCACTAGGGCCTCTCAGTAATGCCCCCTCTCTGGGGATTCTCAACTGCCCTTCTCTAGGCCTGGGGTCTATGCACCCTGAACGCTGTGCCCTCACTGGCACTGGGGTCCTCACACTCCTCTGTGAGTTCCCTATGAGGCCTCCTCCAACCCCTAAAAGCCTCTCCCCACCCACTAGTCACAAACAACAACATAAATGCAAGCCCTTCGGCTATAACAAACAGAAGCCAACCAGCCCAAACAACATTCGGTCCTACCAGTGACCCTTAACTCTCAGCAATGCTGGATGCAGCTCCTGTATCAGGTTTCCCCTCTCTCCCAGGGCAGAGAGCTCCTTCCTCTTTGGCAGCTGGCAGGGAACTGCCTCTAGCCCCAGCCCCTAGGGTTTATAAGGGAGCCAGGCCCTGCCCCTTATGGTCAGCTGACCTTCCCTGGTTGCCCTGGCAACCCACAGCTGGGCTCCTTATTTCCTGCTAGGGCTTCCTCCCTAGCAGTTTTCCCCTCTTTGGGAGCAGGGCACCTCAGTGCTCTGTGACAGTGGCACATGGCATTTGCTCCAGGGCACATACTCAATCCAGCACTGGGGAGCCAGTCTGTGGGCCTGATGGGGCCCCTGGAACCAGATTAGTTTGACATCGCTGATGTAGATGACTAAATCTAGACATTTAAATGACCAGAAAAGGAACAAAATGCCACTCATATTGCTCTAC